GGCCTAGCATGATGTTTTAAATATAGGTCTACTGAAGAGAAAAAAGGAATTCTTTTTGGGGGCATAACATTTTGCTTAGTTGGGGTTCAAAACTAGTATTACCTATAATATCGATTCTAGATGTTTAACAATAAGAACCATTCTTAGTTCACGGGCTATACAGAAACAGGAGGCTAGGTGGATTTGGGCTGTGGGCCATAGTTTCCTGACCCTGATCTGCAAGATTATTTTTGCATTTAGTTGTCATTTTTTATATTTGTCAATTAAAAAAAACCCACTAATCTGTACCAGTTTAACAAGAAGACTTTATATTTCGTTCCATTGAAATATTACTATTACTGATATATGAATTATATAATTGTTTTCCTGTAATTTTTCCATGATGACTTTCTTTTAAACTTATTTCCAAATAATTTTTAGACTCACAAAGAGTTGTAAATATAGTAGAGAGAGTTTCTGGATATCCTTTCCCCAATTTCCCCCAATGATAACATCATACATAACCATCATAACTACTTTTAAAAGTACCCTTAACATTAGCAAGTAAGCATTTATTTAAAAATGAATTTTCTCGGTAACTTTATTTATTGGTGAAGAATTTACACCTGCGATTTCACTTTTTGTTTTTATTTCCAGATCAGCCAGCATTACTAACCTGTCACTGGATCGATCTGGGTCTCCTATGGTATCTTCATATGAGACATCTGTCAGTCCACAGGCTAACCGAACGTATGTTAGGACAGAGACCACTGAGGATGAACGCAAAATTCTTCTGGTACTAGTCCAGTATCTTTGACCTATTTCTAGATTTGAGCATAGAGAATGTTTATCTCACTGATTCTTTTTTAAAAGAAATACATAAACGAAATAGCATATCAATTATTAATAAACAGAGAAGTCATTCGCTTAAATTTTTACTAGGATTACCTGGGAAATAGGTCAACTATTCTATACTCATTGCAATATTTTCTTTACACCTTTCATCTGGTAAGATCACAATTCAGTTGCCTATAAGAGAGCTTAACTCTTAGTTAGATCCAGATTGCTGTTTGAACTTGGAAACGTGTTTCTTATACACACGGAAAACTTCTCAGATGTTTAATACTATATGTTTATGTGAGATAATCAGTTGCTTATTGAATTCATCTATTTGTAAAATACTGTGTTTTTAGTCACTCATCTAAGAGTGAAGCAAAGAAGTGGAAGATAGTGCATTTGTCCTCAAGCTTACAGTTTATAAGGTAGAAATAAGAGGTAGGTGCTGTGGCATGCAGTGTAGTTCCACTTACTTGGGAGGCTGAGAAAAGAGGATTGTTTGAAGCCAGGAGTGTCAGGCTATAGTGCACTATAATTGAGCCTATGCGTAGCTACTGGGCAACATAGCGAGACTCTGTCTCTGGGGAAAAAAAAAGGTAGAAATAATATCAACAGGACAGTTCTTAATAGTAAAAAAGTAATGCTATTCTATAAAGAAATCCAAACTGAATTTCTTTTTGTGTATCTAAAAGTCACAAGAAAGCATCTGAAAAGGTATGTAGGATTCTTCTCAGGAGGACTTACTTACTCTTCATGTGATTGTAGGACAGTGTTCAGTTAAAGGATCTGTGGAAAAAAATCTGCCATCACAGCAGTGGAATGGAGTTTCAGGATCACCGCTACTGGCTGAGAACGCATCCTAACTGCATCGTTGGGAAGGAGTTAGTTAACTGGCTAATCCGAAATGGACACATTGCTACAAGGTATTATCTTAAAAAAGAGGTTTTGACATTATTTTTAAATTTATTTTTAATAAGGACATGTATGTGAAGATGTAAGTAACAGATTTCTTTGTGGGTTAGGATGTTCTTTGTTTTTATGTATTTGATGGTTTGGGGTACTAATTACTCAACCCTTCTCCTATCTGGGTTTTAACCAGCAGAGAATAGTATAGAGGCAATGAGTCAAATGGAGTCATAATTTACCTTATTAAAAATGGAAGTGTTCAGTAATTTCCAAAATAGAATTCTTGATTGGAGAATTGTAGCTAGCTATGGAGTGAGGCAAAAGGATTCTCCTGCTGTCCTCTAATCTAGTGTTGAGAATTGGGTCCGTAAGGTACACCTAGAAGTCCTACCCTACCTCACAAATCATTTCTGAAAAAGAATGATAGACAGGTCCTGTTATCTTTCAAGTTATTATAACATATCCCCTAGATTTTACTACTTGCTCAGGTTAGGTACTCTTCCTCTTATGGGAAGAAACAGGTACATAAACAAGTAAAGCCAGAAACAGCTTTAAGCAGTAAAGCCCTGGGTTCCAATTTTGGCCATCTCTCCTTTCAGCTTTGTGCTTTTAGTCAAGTTATTCAATCTCTTTGAGATTTTTCCAACATGAGGAAAATATATTGTCCTGTGAATAAGGTGTGGGGATGAAATGAAATAAATATTGGGTAAAATGCTTTATAAATTATGAAATGCCATATAATACAATGTGTTATTAAGTATTTATTTCATATAGATTTGTTTATATATTTTATACCTGTATCTGTAATATTTAGTATTGTTTTCTCATCAAGACTGAGTTCCTTGAGGGTAGGAGTCATGCTATTCTCAACGTGTTTTTACTCTTCTAGTAAAACAAGGGTATGCATGCATTCAGTACTCAGTATATACTTGCTGTAATTAAAATTAAGTTTTGTTAAGACTGCCTTACCAATAGGTTCTTCTCCATTACTATGGTACCTGGAAGAATCTTTTAATTTGCTTAAAGTCTTTCTTGTTTTTATCCTTTACCTATCCAAGGATCATTTGAAATTCCAACTCTGATTAGAACTGAAAAAAAAAAATTAAGGTTGTATCTTATCTTGTAAATTATTGAAATTATTTTGACTGACTTTTAAAAGTTTATTTCTGTGGATCTTGATTCAGGGCACAAGCTATAGCAATTGGACAAGCAATGGTTGATGGACGTTGGCTGGATTGTGTTAGTCATCATGACCAGCTTTTCAGAGATGAGTATGCACTGTACAGACCACTGCAGGTACTTTTCAGTGTTTACAGCTCATGAGAATATAGCAAGCTTGTTTTGATGTCTTTCTTTACCAGTAGGAATAAAAAGTAGTGTAGTTACCCAAAGATACTTTTTTAAAACATGTTTTTCCTGCTGTTTCAGGAAAGTTAAAACATTTTTTACTTGGTAGGTAGTGGTGATGAGAAACCTATTAGAATCAGACACTTTATTCAGTTGATATGGCTTTTTTTAAACTTGGCTTTGTGGGTATTATAGTTACTTGTCATTTAACTTTAGTGGTTTTCAGTTTTACTAATACTTTTCCTATTTTCATAGAGCTAATAGGGAATATACACAGTAAAATGATTGAAAAATTTAATGTCACCTATTGAAATAGATTTTGACTGTTTAGCACTATTGTATAATAATGATAAAATGATCTATTTCTTTTTACATTAGGGAAATGGAAATTTAAAGATAAAACTTTTAAGAAAGATGTACTTTCACTTTTGGCTTCTATAATTCGGTGTATGTTACATACACACACATACACACACACACACACACACACACACACACACACACACACATAGAATTTATACCCTTTAACAACATGGGGGTCAGGGTTGCTGATCCTCTGAGCAGTTGAAAATCT